CCGAGAGGCCAAAAACAAACCAAGAAAAAAAGCAACTGCGTCATCAGTTAGAGAACAGAGCAGAACATTTCTCAGGCTTTCTCCGGAGCTGCGGCAATGATTTAGGATGATTGAATGTGTTTCTTGGCCCTGCGGTGCTGGAAGTCGACGGCAGGTCCCAAAGGTTCACAGTGGGATGAGGATGGAAGGGGATTTAGAGGGGGGGGGGGGGCAGATACTGCAGCTACAGTGTCCCATTTGAATGTGTTGGTGATTTCCCCTGAGTGCCAGGGTTAATCAATGAGTCAGCTGCGAGGAATGTGGCTCTGGATTACGCTGGGCCCGCTTTACAATCCAATCTGTTTGATTCAGGACTGAAGTGAGCAGCTTCCTCCGTGCACCTCGTTACTGAGCCTGTTGACTCAGTGTCATTAGGTGAGGAGAGGAAATCCAGCTCACACCTCGGCAGCCTCCCTTAACTCCACGGCGATGGATTTTACCATCACAGACAGGATGTGGACCGTCGGTTGCTAGGAAACAGCTTGGGTCCAAGTTTAAACCCTGTCAGATATTGATGTCGGCAAACACCAGAGCACGAAATTACACAGAGCCCGTTTCAGATGTTTATGATTGTAACTCAAATGGTTTCTGACCTTCATCACGACCCCCTGACGCAGCTGTTCCAAACACACGGAGCCGTTTAATGAAGCAGCGTTTTCTTCCCATTTTTCAAAACTTTAATTTACCCCACAAATGAAATTTAGACGAAGTGCCTCATTACTTGATTAAAAATATCTCTTTATAATTGATTTTACACTCAATCCAGACGACTGAATATGAAAACATTCGATGGGCCGTTTTTTTAACGGCTTCATTACTTTGAATTGAAGGGTTTTTTAATTCGAGGCTGTTAAAGCCACTTCCTTTTGCTACCCTGTGAAATCACTTTTAACTTTGCTGTTGCTATAATTATGATTGAATCTTAACCTTAAATCTTAAATCTTAAACTTTATTCTGCTGCGTTCAGACGCTCTTCACAAGTATTTAAACCTTCCAATCCTCAGCAAAAGGATTTGATGTCTTTTGAAAACATGGGAAAAAGGCAACGAGCAACGTGGCAAGAAATGTTACTTAAACTGCAAGAAGTTAGATTTGTAAATTATTTTTTAAAAAGCTATGGGAAAAATGAAAAGCTGCAGGAATCAAAGCAATGGGTCCCTGAAAAACACCTACATTTAGGGGCTATACAGCTGCAAGAAAAAACAGTGGCAGATCCCTAAAAACACTGATGTCTCAGGGGTTAAAAACTTCAGGAAAGGGGCGCTGGTGGCTTAGTGGTAGAGCAGGCGCCCCACGTACAGGGCTGTTGCCGCAGCAGCCCGGATTCGACTCCAGCCTGTGGCCCTTTGCTGCATGTCACTCCCTCTCTTTCCCCCTTTCATGCTTGTCTGTCCTGTCCATTAAAGGCTCAAAAGCCTCAAAATAACAACACCCACATTTGAGGGCTGAAGGTGACAGCAGTATTATGGATGGGTCCCTAAAAATCCACCACGTTTAGGGGATAAAAAGCTGCAGGAAAGGCAGCTATGGTTTCCTTAAAAAACACCCACATCTGGGGGCTACAAAGCTGCAGGGATAACAGTGATGAGTCCCTAAAAACACCTGTATTATGGGGCTAATAAGCCCCAGAAAAAACAGTGGCAGGTCATTAAAAACCCACTCAGGGGCACAGCAATGGGTGTCTAAAAAAACACCTACATTTCGGGGCCATAACACTGCAGGAGATACACTGGAGGGTCCCTAAAAACACCCACATCTGGGGGGTAAAAATCTGCAGCAATCACAGTGATGGATCTCTAAAAAACGCCCGTGTTTAGGGGCTAAAACTGCAGGAAACACAGCTCTGCACCCCTTAAAATATACCTGTATTTGGGGGCTAAAAAGGTCCAGGAAAACAGTCCCTGAAAGAACCCATGTTTGGGGTCACAGGTCACTGAAGCACACCCACATTTAGTGCCTATAAAGCAGCTGGAAATAGAAATGCCACACGCAGACAGCAGTTTTGTTTGTTGGTCAACTCATCTACTGCGTCACTTCAGAAACACTGAACATATGAAGCATATAAATGTGCAGATATATGGACCACAGAAACAACGTAGTATCGTCACATTATCTGTGAGACTCTGTTTGTTGAGAAACATCGAGGGTATCAGTGAAAGAAAACCCTGAAACAGGAAATAGAATCAGGGAAAGAAAACAATGATGTTCTTGTAGCCGTGAGCAACAGAACACAAAACGTTTATCTCAGATATGTGTGTAATGTAGAATTAAATCAGCGTGTCGTTTCACAGAACCGTTTAAATCCATGTTTGGCGCATCATATTTGACTCATCCTGTATCTGCATCATGATGTAACAGTGAGTGAGGTAAAGCAGTGTGTTGGTCTTCACTTTGATCAGACACACGTGTCAAATCTTTGTTTCCTTTTTAAAAACCAGAGAAAACTGAAGAATTTCCTGTTTCATTCTTTGCTCTGAAACACGTCTGTGTGGACTCAGTGACAAATGTTAATGACATGGTGACAAAAAAACAAAATCAAATCACCATCCGTCGTCCAAACATGACCGGTGAATGATTAATGGTCACCACGGCGTCACCATTATCATTTAAATAGCTTATTGATCTTCCATTGACTATAGGCTGTAGATGGAAGGCGAGGAACGCCGTAGTGTGGATCAACATAATGGGGCTTGACTGGTGGGTAAATGTTTTCTCCCAGCATTACACAGAGAGACGCCGTCTCCAGACTGGTAGAGGTGACCTTGGAACGTGCCTCACCTCGCCCCCAGGCAGCGGGCTGTGCTGCAGCTCTGTGTGTCTTTACATGTAGCATGTGCACTGAACACAGGAGCACAGGGAACAGTGTGTTTTACAATACATACTGATTATGTGTTACGTGTTCTCCCGTCCTGCAGTCAGTCTCTACACATTCATCTGTTTTATGTCTCAAACACAACAGTGAATACAAAACATACACAACATGGACTCAGTACTCAGACGCATCACACCAACAGGGACTGTGATGACATTGTACTCAGATACATTGACTTGAATATGGAGTTGGTCCCTTTTGTAACAGCTTCAGCTCTTCTTGGAAGGTTTTCCATAAGATTTCTGAGTGTTTCCGTGGGAATTTGTGCCCATTCATTCTGTAGAGCACTGATGAGGTCAGCTGAAGGCCTGGCTCACAATAATCTCCGTTCCAGTTCATCCCAAAGGTGCTCGATGGGGCTGAGGTCAGGGCTCCATGTCTTTATGTCCTGGCTTTGTGCACTGGGGCACAGTCATGTTGTTTGGGGCGTCCCCAAACTGTTGCCACAAAGTTGGAAGCAGAGCATCGTCCAAAATGTTTCTTCACTGGAGATGATGGGCCGAGACCAAACCCTGTGCAGCCCCGTACCATCACCCCTCCTCCACCAAACTTCACAGTTGGCACAAAGCAGTCAGGCAGCTAACGTTCTCCCGGCATCTCCCAGACTTGGCCATGGACACCTCGCACTGCACAATGTCGTGCTCACATTAACGCCAGTGGAAGCTCAGAACTCTTCAGCTGTGGAATCAACAGAGCGTTGGTGACTTTTATGCACCATGCTCCTTGGCATTGGTTGACCCGGCTCTGTGATTTTACATGGTCCCTCCCTTGGCAGCTGAGTTGATGTTGTTCCTAAACGCTTCCACTCTGCGTGGAATATCCAGCAGGGATGAAATATCACAAACTGTCTTGATGCAAAGGTGGCGTCCTATCACAGTACCACACCTGAAGTCACTGAGCTCTTCAGAACAACCCATTGTGTATCTCAAATGTTTGAGACTGCATGACTAGGTGCTTGATTTTATTCACCTGTGGCAACAGGTCTGAGTGAAACACCTGAATTCAACCATTAACAGGTGTGGCCAAATACTTTTGTCCATATAGTGTATATGCACGACAGACTGTATCTAACAGATAGAACATTAGACTCCCAGTGTAACACCAAACCACAGCAGCCAGTCCAATAGATTTTAAGCTCCTAACAGAGAGTCTGCAGAGCATTGAACACACGTATGTACCGACTTCAGTGACCCCCAGTGTTTCTGTTTCTGTGCACGCCATTTAAGGCATAGATTCTAGTTTCAACAGGGTAGTGTCTCAAATTACACACAGCTGTTTTGCACTTACCGAAGTGTCAAGTTTGAATTTTATTTAACCTCCTCTTCTTCATCTATCTATCTATCTACTTACCTACCTGCCTACCTGCTGACCTACCGACCTGCCTACCTTCCTGCCTACCTACGTACCCACCTACCGACCGACCTACCGACCTGCCGACTTACCTACCAACCTGCCTATCTACTGACCTACCTTCCTGCCTATCTACCTTCTTGCCGACCTACTGACCTACCTTCCTACCCACCTACCAACCTACCTTCTTGCCTACCTACGTACCCACCTACCAACCGACCTACCGACCTGCCCATCTACTGACGACCTACCGTCCTGCCGACTTACCTACCAACCTGCCTATCTACTGACCGATCTACCGTCCTGCCGACTTACCTACCAACCTACCTTCCTGCCTACCTTTCTGCCTACCTATCTTCCCACCTACCGACCGACCTACCGACCTGCCTATCTACTGACGACCTACCGTCCTGCCGACTTACCTACCAACCTGCCTATCTACTGACCTACCTACCGATCTACCTTCCTGCCTATCTACCTTCTTGCCGACCTACTGACCTACCTTCCTACCCACCTACCAACCTACCTTTCTGCCTACCTATCTTCCTGCCTACCTACCGACTTGCCTATCTAATGACCGACCTACCTTCCTGCCTTCCTACCATCCTGCCGACCTACCTACCAACCTGCCTATCTACTGACCTACCTACTGACCTACCTTCCTGCCTACCTACCGTCCTGCCGACCTACCTACTGACCTACCTAATTACTGGCTGTCCCTCTGTCTGTGTGTCCACAGTGTGATCCAGGTGAGGCCACCAAGCTGCTGTACGACCTCCTGTACACAGAGCCCATTAAGATCGTGCTGATGCCTGGCTGCAGCTCCGTGTCCACCCTGGTGGCTGAGGCTGCTCGGATGTGGAACCTCATAGTGGTACGTAACAACTTTTCTGTGTGTAAGTTTGATTACTTCACTAAGCATTTACTGCAACACAACACAACTGTGAGTCAAAGTGTTGGCGCTGCAGGGTGGGTCCTTCTAGGACAGAGTCCTCTGGTGTAAGGAAAGTGATACACTCACATTGTGGTTCAGAGGGGAGAAAAGAGCTGCCCACAGTGTTTAGTTGATGAGGGATCTGTGGGTACTGCTGTGTGTAAACACCACAGAGAGCACTTAGGTGAAAACAAAGAACAGAAATCACACTACAGGAGGACACTGAACACCAGAAAGAGCCAGAACTGTTCAGCTGCAGACAGCCAGCTGAGGGAAGTCACAGTCAGATTAGAGACACAAACATGGATCTCTTGGTTACAGTTGTGATACTGATTCATTCAATGACTCATACGTGACCATACGTTCAATCTTACTGGGGGTAACGCAGGACTCCATGTGTTTAATCAGTGTTTTTGTCCAAAATCAACACGGCCTGACTCTGCTATATATAAAATATATGAAAATAAGAAGTTTGATACAAATGGCTTCTAGACTTCTACAATGTAGCATCCAACAGTCAGGTCAGTCAAGTCAAGTCAGGTTTATTTACTGTACATATCCCAGTATCACAGATTTGCCTCGAGGGACTTTGTAATCTGCAGAGCGTACGACACAGATGAGTGTGTCTGTCAAGAGGTCGTGATCCTGACACGGCAACATCTCTGAGCTCAGAGCAAAGTATAGCATTAATGCCATTCTGCTCTTCAGGGACTGAAAGTAAAGTGCTTTCACACTGAAAGAAGTTTCAGACATGTTCCTTCATTTTTAATATGCACTGCTATTTTTGTTAGAAAGAGCTTTTCCTCCGGTTCCAACAGTAAAACTGTGACCCACATATCTCTGTCATTGTCCACCTCATACAGCAGCACCTAAGACTGCGGCAATCTGCAGGGACATCACAAATAACACAGTAAATCTGATTTACTGTGATCTGGATCCAGGCTGTCTAACAAAGCATGAAAACCAGCACAGTTAGTGTCATCAGGCTAATTCAAGACACACTGTACACAGAAAAGATATAAAATTAACACAAAGACCGAGAAATCAATCCAACCTGAGTAACTGTTACAGCGCCTAACCCGATGATTGCAATATGTCGTTATGTATGAGTGATAGAAATTCCTTTTATGTCTAACTTCAAAGATTTCCTGTGATTAAAAGAGATATACAACTGTGTCATCAGAGAATGGGACTGGACCAAGAATTGAGCCTTGTGGCACACCAAATTTCATTAACATTATTATGGAGACACACGTCCACCCCATCAAGGCAACTCAGTTCACCTGTTCCTGATTACTCACAGCCAGGCCAGCTTCACTGTGACATCATCATGTTTTACAACATATCTCAGGAACACAAGGGGAGACATTTGGTCAGATACTGAATTGGTGACACCCATCGTTAAACAGAGGAGGTGGTTTACGACACCACTTATCCCCCACCAATAATGCAGTCTTGGGATCCCTCCCTAGACGACTTAACACCCATTCACACATGGTCCTATCTGACCCTAACGACAAACATGATGGGCAGGTGGGTCAACGACTCACATGTGACCTTAACGAATCTGTAAGGGTTGACACCACACAGAGTTTAAGGCCTGCGACTCCACACAAGTCAGTTAGAACTGAAGAAGCCTCTTGGATGAGAGGCGAAACGTCTTTAAGAAACTCAAGCAGGTCCAGTTGTCAACGATACAACACTTCTGATTACCATGACCTCCAACAAGGCAACTGATTGTGCTGCCAGGTTAAAGATGTGTTTAATGCATCCTTGTCTTCATGGACATGAATGTAAACTGTAAGTGCAACTTGACTGGTGCACGGAGGTGTACAACTGTGTGGCACTAATTATATTTTTTGAAGACTGACATATTGTTGTGTCCAACATTAGCTGTTCCTTTTTAATTTATGTTCTTTTTTTTGATCATCATTTCGCAGCAGTTGATGTCGTGCGGGTAACACGAGCTCTAACGTGGTTGTTTCTGTCACCCTGTGTCTCAGCTGTCGTACGGCTCCAGCTCTCCGGCTCTGTCCAACCGCCAGCGTTTTCCCACCTTCTTTCGCACTCATCCGTCTGCCACGCTGCACAACCCCACTCGAGTGCAGCTCTTCCAGAAGTGGAAATGGACCAAGATCGCCACCATTCAGCAGACGACAGAAGTCTTTACATCAGTGAGTCGTAGAGAATTATCAGATACCACTCCTTGGAGCGTACTTTACAGATTGTGTTGCAGTATCCCAATTTACAAAATTTCTTCCGAGCTTTAACAGTGATTGTCCAATCACAGCCTGTCATGTCAAGCATGTCAAGGATTTCTGTGCATGTTGAAGCGGTGTGTACGAGGCTCTGTTCAGAGAGGCAATCTGTATTTTAAAGTTTCAGCAGACTATCTTGTGTTAAGTTACAAACATGATTGGAACGCTTTGTTCTTTCAGATTGTGTTCCAGAAGTATTCATTCATTTTTCTCATTTCCTATCTCTCTCCCCTCCTCCTCCCCCATGTCCTCTCTCGTCTCCCCTCCCCTGATTGGTTTCTCTCTGCCTCTCTCTTGTCACCTGCTGTTTTATCTGCTGGTATCATCACCCACGCTCCCGCCATCATCTTTCTAAACCACCAACTCATCTTCCCCCTCGCTACTTTGCTCCGACTTCAATTGCTGTTTACTGTTCTTCAAATTTCTTTTTGCAACCTACCGTTCCATTATCTCTCCCACGCCTATTTTGGTTGCCATCTCTCTCATCCTGTCATCTTCCACACGCTCATTATTGTGTGCATGTTTCTCTGTGTTTGACAGACTCTGGATGATCTGGAGGAGAGGGTGAAGGAGGCAGGGATTGAAATCAGCGTTCGTCAGAGCTTCCTCACCGACCCTGCTGTGGCTGTTAAAAACCTCAAGGTACCAGATCCCTTTATTCTTCTTACACATAGCAGGCAGCTGAATGCCAATCAGTCGGCCTTGTCTGGCCCGGTCACCACAGAGAGCTACTGGATACTTGGCAACAATAGCCCAGAGATTACAGAAGCAGAGTCCTGCCCAGAATGAGAAGTGATTCAGCTGCATCTCTGTGGTTCCAGCTGCCCAGTGGCCCAAACTGAAGCACCATTGCCCATTGCCACAGCACCATTAATGATCACCAGAATATGTTCATCTCCAAAGCGATTCATTCACAACACATACTGGTCTCAGTATGTGTTGTATCTTTCTCTTTGATGAAGCATCCTCAGCACCATGTGCGCTCACCCACTCTCTCTGAAGCCTTTGACTCTGGGTGCTTCTCAGAGTCAGGGGTGTTTCCTTGGTAACACAGGTCCTTCCAAGCAGAACGTACGTGCTACTTGGCCGTCGGATGTAGTCCGTGTAGTGTGTTCAAATGCAACTGACACAGGGCGACGTGAGGCGACGTAGACGACGCAACAGTTGGCTTTCGTCGCCGCTAGGTCTTTGATGTCAGTTTGGTGTGTCCGCACCTTAAGACACACCTTCAAGCAGGTAGCACTGTTGTCATGGAACTGCAAATCCCTGCTGTGCTGGGCTGATGGCCTGAACCAAACCAAACCAGCTCATTACTGTCAAAGGGGAATTAGACTGTCCTATCCAGTAAAGGCAAAAAGCCAAAAATAATCTCAAGAAAAAGAATAATGACATTTTCTTTATTTATCATTGTTGTCGGCCTAAAGAAATTCCTACGTTCTCTGACTGTAAACATGAGTAGCTTCTGCACTGAATTTAAAAACAAAGTTTAAACATTTAATTGACTAAAATGTGTCACACGTCTTCAGCCTGGTGCCTTTTCCAAACCTGAACAGCAATGGCTCGTCTTCAGCCTCTCTAGCAAGGTTAAGCTAAAGTAAAAAGTAAAAGTCTCAGAGGGAAATATAGAATTTAACAGTGAGTGGACGGATGTGTTTGCTTTCACCAGAACAAACAAATCATAACTAGCCTCCTGCAGAGGAGCCATCTTGTGGTAAAATGTATGTTGAATGCTCATTTAGACCAATTTCTAATGTTGGTAGGCTAACTCAGACTGAATACACAGTGTTATTATGAGGCTCAGATATGTTCTGCAGCTCCAGGCAGATTTGTTTTTTAATTATTTTTGATTGTTAGGTGACCTCTGGGCTGACTGCATCACCACAGAGGAAAAAGTTAAAGCATGGTTCTGTTTTTCAGCCGCAAGCAGCGACACATGGAGCCGAGCTGAAACCTGACTGTGTCGGATTCTTTTTATTGTTTTTTTTTTTTTTTTTTTTTTTTGTTTTTTTTTGTTTCTGTCG